CATTCACCTGAAGCCAGAGACATCATAATAACTAGAAAACTGAGGGGTTCAAGTGTAATAAACCCAGAATAGAACAAAATAAGAAAACCAAGGGTTCAAGTGTAATAAACAAAATTTTGTAGGGTCAAAATGCAATAACAAATAACTGAGTGGTGAACTGTAACAAACTAATTACAGTACCAAATACTCAATCAAATACGATCAAAGCAAATCAGAAGTACACCAGAGAATTGAAGCAGAACCAGAGAAAAGTCTTAGATAAGAGCAGTCAAAGCACAACTAACCACGTCGATCAGATGGGTCGACCAGATGGGTCACCCAACCAAGTCAACTAGAGAGAAGAGGCGAACCACATCAGAGGGGTGTCCTTTGGCGAGAGAGAAGACCAGCAAACCAGAATCAGACATTAGGTGGGTCGTGAGCTAGATGGGTCACGATGCAGAGGCAGACGGGTCGCGATGGATCGCAATTCAGGCTAAGAGTTAGAGCAGAGATACGAACGAGGGACTTCGCCAGAAGAGATGAATCGAGATTCCACAGGTAGGTCACGATTTCAGTGAGATTAAAGGCTGATAGTGAGCACGACTTCGGAGGCTGATTAGGTTTTCAAACACTGCTCTGATGCCATGTAAGATTTCTGAATTGGTTTCTGTATATTCAACTTGTAGAATACAAAGATTACAACCAATATTCATAGCAATCCTATACCTAATCTATAATAGGAAATAATCGTATACAATCAATCGAATATCAACCTACCTAATTGATACATAATACCATAATTACATAATAATACCATAATGACATAATGACATAATACCATATTCTCACAGTCTTAATGGTTCAAGATGGATTACTAGGGCCTTAGGAGTTGATTTCATATGATACAAAAAGCTGCCAAATCAATCATCTGGAGCTCCATGGCAACTCATTTTATGTTAATACTTATATGGAGAGCTTAGTTGCACTAGATGTAGCTGACGGAGTCTGGAAATCACATGTGTCCCAATTTCTCTTGAAGGGTTTCCCAACAAGGAAGCATTGTGTAGTACTTTAATCGTTACAGTTTGCCGCACTTAATTGTTATAGTTTGTCATTTTGTTGTTCTTAGATACTTTGTGTTAGATTTTTGAGCTGCATATGAACAATAACTTTGCATCAATATTCTTTTTCCTGAATACGCTATTGTTCTCATATTCATGTCGGGATATCAATTTAATATTTTGGGTCATATTGTCGTCAAAAGTATCTTTGTGTACATAATAAGTCAAGATGGGAATTCATACTTAGATCCTAGCACGTTAACATTTTCATTATCTCACATAGGTAGACTCCCTTTATAAAGGTTGTTGCGGGTTCAGGGGATCAACTAAAAGAAACAGGGAAGAATTTAAAAGTAGAATAATGGTTAAATTAATATAGATGGATTGCCTTTTCACATATTGTATATAATTCTTTTTTATGTATTGTATATAATTCTCTTTAGTGTTGAAATTTATTGCTTCTTTCTCATGTATATCTGTATTGAATAACTTGTTGAATGTTATACTGTTGTGGAGAGTCTAATTCTTTTTTATGCTATTATTTTTCAGTAAATTTTCCTTTGGCATTGTGATGAGTATATAACTTGGGTGGTTTTGTGACTTGGGTACTTTGAGAAGATCATATAATTTACTTTGATTTTGAAAAATATTTGTACAAATATAATGAAGTTCTGAAATAAATTTTGGTATGTAAAATCAAATGTATTCCTAACTATGATTTGCTACCAAGTGAAACTGCGGCCTTTATTTCCCATATCTATAACTTTGCATTGATAGAGGAATTCATTAAAAGTTAAGGTTTTAAGCTTTTGTCTATCTCTGGCACCTTCTTTCTCTATTGTAAAGGAGATGTCATTGAAATCACGCCGCCGCCCCATCCCCCCCTCCCGACGCAAAGCCATAGCTTTTGTCTATCTCTGGCACCTTCTTTCTCTGTTGCAAAGGAGATGTCATTGAAATCACGCCGCCGCCCCGTCCCCCCCTCCCGACGCAAAGCCATGGTTTGTTCAAATTTCAAGAGCCATTAGCTATAAGAGAGCAAAGATTTCTTCTTTCATTGATTATTGGCAAACATCAATAAATGAGAGCCTCCACTTCCCAAAAGGTTATGAAAAGTGCATTGGCTATACCCCCTCCCCCCCTCCTCTAAAAAAAATAAATAAATAAAAAAATGGGAATTCAGTAAAGTGCAAATCCACCTTTTTGCTTGAAAAAACTACTACTCTTCCAGCAAGACCGATATTCACTAAAAGTGAAAAACACAAATTAAATACTCTGATTTCTTCAAAATTATTTTCTATAGCTTGCATTTCAAGCAGACAAATTAGTGAGGGTCTAAACTGGACACCCAGGACCTTTAATGGTTGGATTGTCAAGGTAGCCCCAGTCCTTGACAATTCTTATACAATAGACTGATGTGGCTCCTTGGGGCTGTTGAGGGACAATCGTCTAAACCTGTTTATGGACCAGAGCCTTACTTGAATTTTGTTCTATAAGTTGCCAATCTATGCTAACTCAAAGTTAGACCTCTACCAAGTCGTGTTCTTATGTCTTGGGTTCATCCTTAGTAATTGATTTCTCTTTTTGATGCGAACACGCTTGCAATTTGTTTTGAGGTTTGTATCTATACCGACCAGAGCAATGTTTTCTTCCTATTATTGAGGGTTGTTCTTGACTTGAAAAAATAGGGAAGTCGTCTTCCTTGTATCAATTTTAAAAGTCTTAATTTGGAGGGGTGTTGAACTGTTCTCAACCACAAAATACTCTTCAGTGATATAAGTCTGTTAAAAGCTTGCCAACCCAACTTCCTAATTTTGGGCCCTAACTTGGAAGTTTTTCCAATTTGCTAATCTGAGAGAAAACCAATGCAGCACATTGCATTGCTATGCAACACATATAGCTATCACCACTTTTCTTGGTTAGAAATTAAGCCACCTTGGGTTATGTGATGTGAGCATCTTGTACAAGTTTGCTGCTTGTTGCTTAATTTGGTGCACTATTTTGACACATTTTGTTGTAATTTCTTCCTGCATTACCTGCCTTGCCTACGAAACCTGACCCAGGTAAGGGCTTCCTTGTTTGTTGGATTGATATATTTTTTTTCTTTTGAGAGCCATAAAATCAACCAGGATTTACATGTAGTCATGGGTCTGTATCCCTCAGAACTATCACGTCTCATGGCCAATTCTGCTGCATAGATAGCACAAATATAATAGCCTTGCCATAGGTTGTCAAGGGTTTTTTTGGTGAGTGAGAGCCCTTTAGGTAGGGTTCATTTAAATTTATCATCAATCTGACTCAGAGAGAGAGAGAGAGAGAGAGAGAGAGAAAGAGTTTCTATCAATAACATCCCTAGTGCTAGGAGTTTCGTGTTATTTGTTTTGACTTTTATCTTTTTGTTTGTACGAGGACTTCTTGTCCTCTTTCTTCCTTAAAGAGTTTCTATCAATAAAACTCTCATGATAATCATATTTCCACTTGTGCAACCTCTCCAACGAGTTGTCCAATCTTCACACTGTTTGTAGTTGTCAAATTACCTATCGGCAAACCACTTATTTATACCAAAAAGAGGGTTATAGAGAAGTTCATCTCTACCACTGTCAAGTCCTTCCACTTTTGAAGCACCATGAGATAACACCCGTAACTGATCAAGGCGCTTGTTCCAGAATTCCCTGACCATCCTCGTCTTTGTTGAAACAACATGCATGCATATATTCTCTGACGATTTGTTAGAAGTAGTTCAGTTTTTTGCATGTAGGCTGCAGAAGCAGAGGTATAGGAGAGGGTTGGGATTCATGTTAAAAGGAATTAGAAGAAAAAAATGTGTGATTTACCTAATGATGATTGAGGGAAACTAAGGAAATATGTGCCACTCTAGGTTTGGCACAGTCTGGGTATTGGGATTAATTTGGCCATCCTAACTCCAATTCTAAAAAACATTCAAACCTCAGACCCGTCCATTACACTGTGATACATGGCTGTAAAGTGAATTTGACTGATATGTTAATATTTTGTAAACTTTCCATGGATATGTAATTTTTGTTGTGAAGCAACCTTGCTTCATTATAAAACAATTTCCATCGGCCTAAGAACCGACCTAAGAGTAGAATGGAGGCTGCAAATCAAGATTGTCAAAAGTAGAAGCTGCAAATCAAGTTTGTCGTTTGAAATTTGTTGCCTTAGTCGTAGTTGCATTTAATACGTTCACTTTGTTAGTTTTATCTATATATAGCTATTGTATTATGAGAGTTTAGTGCGTGGGAAAAAGAAGAGAGTTAGAGAGTTTTTCCTCTCCTCAATGTATCCTAAATATTTGAGTTAAATAATCTATTTTTCTGATTATACATTCTCTGTCATATTTCACTACTACAAATATAGATAAAGATCACACTTTTTTAGTGTGATGTATGTTTTTTAATCACACCTTTTAAGTTTAAAGTGTGGTCTTTAAGAGTGTGATTAAAAATGATCATTTTTAATCACACTTTTTAAGTGTCATTAAAAAATGCTTTCATCACATCTTTTAAGTGTGATTAAAAACATTTAGATCACACCTTTTAAGTGTGATTAAAAATATTTAGATCACACCTTTTAAGTGTGGTTAAAAACATTTAGATCACAGCTTTTAAGTGTGATTAAAAACTTTAGTTCACACCTTTTAAGTGTGATTAAAAACATTTAGATCACACATTTTTAAGTGTGATTAATAACTAATAAAACCTGTGATAAAAAAAAATTTGACATATTTAAAGAATAATCAATATTATTTTTGCACGCTCATTTGAATAATGTAATACACACTATATACTATATTTTGAATCACAACCATATATTGAATTAAATAATATCATATATTTCATAAATGAAAGTTAAATGTTTAAAAGTATATACAAAGAAATTAATAAAAAAAAAATTAACTGTGATTACATACATTAAAAAATAAAAAATAAAAAACTTGAAAAAAGTAAGTTCTTGAATTCTTTGACCATATTTTTGCATCTCTCCAAGAAATTTCTGACCTGAAAAATAAAAAAACAAATTAATTTAAAAATCGCCAGAAGAATATGAATAAACTTACTAATTAATTTATAAACTTACATTTAGATCACACCAAAAATAATGTAATTTATCCAGTTGTTAAAGTGCCCCAATCCTTTCCCCACAGCCACCAAAAAATTTGAAGCACAAACTTCTTGAATTCTTTGACTATATTTTGCATCTTTCTAATTAATTTCTGACCTGAAAAATGAAAATACAAATTAATTCAGAGACCGCTACAAACACAAATTGCCTTTTAGCAACTCCAAAACCAAACTATCAACCTATATGGGAATCAATCAACTCTGCTGTGGTTATGCATCAACTGACTGTATATGTGATGATCAATGTCAAGCAAGCATGGCATGTTAGAGTGACACACATTCATAAGAATTATTGCATGAATGTTAAATCAAATATCATTATACTTAATCCCTCCATACAAAATTTTCCGATATGTAGTGATATGACATTGAATGTGTTTGTTAGCAATTCATAGTATTGCTTTAGTAATAATAATGCTTGGGCAAATCATGAAAATCATAGAGAGAAATTCACAAGCTAATAAGATCAATAAAGTAGTACCTGTGAGCTTTGAACTTCAGACCTGAATTTGGACAAAGTGGACTCCTGAATCATTACACTCCACAGAAAAAGCACAAAGCACCCACAAAAGAAAGAAAAAAGACTTGCAATATCAATATTAGAAGTAAAGATGAATCTACATGATAAAAAGCATCGAATACTTGTGAGCTTTTACAAGCTTCTACAGATTAACAGTGAAGTAGGAACAGTGAGGTATTTATCAACTAACATTAGTAAAACATGGGGAACCTCCCATTTGAATTCCATCCACATATTGGCTAAGAAAATCAATCTGATGATTAGAACTTAAATGATTTCTAGAGCCCTTAGCAAAACCAGCACACAAAACTATTAAATAAGTGATGCTTCAATCAGTTCATAATCAAACTCAAGATATTTAGCAGCAAGCAAGGGAGATAATGGGATCTATATGATATATCCCATCACCCTACAAACAACTAAGATGTACTTCTAGCTTAAACATAATTATTATTTAAAGACAAGGAATGGTCATTTACCTACTACCTAGTGATCTGCACCAATATGTTCCCAAAAGTTGTCTCTCTACTCCAGCTGACCAAGTCAAAGTGATGCCGACTTTAGGAGTATGAATATCACCAACAATGCTGACAATTGTCATGTGCCCTTTACCATCTCCAATAGCAACCAAATCTTCGACAGTGCTAGGAAGGTTGGATGAGCTTCTAGACAACAAGTCCATACAAACAATTGGCACTATTTCACTGACCCTTAGAAGTTCAATCTATTTTACGTCCCACATATTGGATAGTTTAGCATGGTACAAGTAACCATTGTTTGTAGCAACATAAAGGGCATCTTCACGTGCAAAACGCAAGCGCCTTACATATTCACTTTTGTTGCAAGATGTCCGAAGGGACCAGAAGGGCCCGTAAATAAGGATTCACTAAAATGATAGCAATGAGGAATGAAGAAGGCGAGGTAACCCAAAATAACATTGAAGGTTTATAGGATACCAGTTTCATACTAGAGATGTCTAAACAACCTATTCATACAAATGTTCTTGGACAACCTCTACACACACCATCCACTATTTTCTTCATTATCAAAAATAATATTGAGAAAATACTGTTTTGGTTCACTATGCTACTAACAAACGCCACTACCAGTACATATAGAAATACCATTATTCTTCCTCTATTCTTTTTGGCTAAGAGCAACACTTGCAAGAAGGAGGTTACCTGTTCATAAGTCCAATATGCTTAGATGAACGTGGGATACGAACAGTGAAGATCTTTGTTCTATCAGTGAGTTCTTTTGCTGCCCCATCATGCCTCTCTGAGCTCTTGAACAGAGAAGCATTCAGCAGCTGTGTTTTTAATTAATGAGTCAAATCCAGCAGTAACAAGTAGTGAACAGTTTGGATCATACAAGCATCACCATATTCCCCTCCCACTGCATAGTAACAAATAGTTATTTAAAAAAAAAAACAAAAAACAAAGAAGACTTTCTACTATATAAAAGTAAGCAATGTAAATGTAACAAAAAAATTATACATGTAATGTTAAGATTGATGTCTAATGAAAACAGCATCATGTTAGCAAATATAGAGGCGAATTGTAAGAGTGGATATGTCCTTGTGGCTTTAAGAGCCAATCATACAAATTAGAAATCACCGTAAAACAACATATTGGATTGTGGGTTTTGTCAAATATATAGGCTGGGCAACAAATACTACTGCAGTCTGCAGATTCGTGTCGTACATTGAAATGTCTTCCAGAAGGTCACAGCAAAGTCAAGCTGGAAACCAACTCAGTTGCATACTCAGATAGACTCCAATTGCTTCTGTTTCTTCTTTTGATCCCCGTTACAGTCTCATTTTGAGCATCAAAGAGCTACTAGCTAGAACCTTGGATGGGAATTCAAACATATATGCGAGAAGCCAACTATTATGCAGATCGGATCACCAAGATACACAAGTTCTTAATCAGCCAGTGGAAGCTGTTAGTCCAATTTTGGCAGCAAATTCAGTTAGGGTTATTAACATAGTCTGGTCTGGGCCTTATCCCTAATGATAAAAAATTCTCAAACATGAGAAGACTTTTCTTCCATGTAACAACTGAAATCAAGAAAAAAAATGTCAATGTAGTAAAGAAACATGAGGGAAAAGGTAACAGCATGGTGAAGAAAACACTAGAACAGCGCCAATTAGGTGTTCAAATGAGTGATGGTATAGAATGGCCAGGCCATCAACCAAAAACATTTACTCTAAATTAAAAATTCTAAAAGGAGAGGGGCCATACACACATGACATTGATAATAGAAAAACATTTAACAGATACGATGCTTTATCTGAATGAAAGGCTTCTGGAAAAGAGAAACCGCATAGCAGAATTCATCTTTCATACTCCAAATAATAATAAAAGGAAAAGAATAGTACTGACAAATTGTAGAATAACTTGACAAGATGATAAACTTCTTAGGATGCCCAAACCAAATTGATCAGAAGAGTTGAACGAACCCATGATGTGGCATGTGAATAGTCGACAACCTAAACTGGTTCGGCATTATATCAGCATCATAACTACACAACAAGATTTGGTCTAACTGTATTGTGTGGGCATTATGGTTATGTAGGCTCATGATCCGTGGTATTAACAAGCTCAGTTGCAACATTGTAGAATATTAAAATAAGTGCAATTTAAGGTCTTACACTTTAAGCTATGGCACATCAAAATACACATGCACAATTGCAAACTTAACTTACATGTGCTCCCTTATCATCTTAAGTTGGTTACCATCCAGTCCCCACACACGACATGTACAATCCTCGCCAACAGTGACTATTAACTGAGTGAAGCCCCATGCAGAAGAAAGTTAGTTCCTATCCGCATTAAAAAGACAGAAAATATACCAACTTTACATATAGAATAGCAGAGAGAGAAGCTTTATATTTGGGAAAACATATGAAATGCATGACTAAATTCCATGAAACCCATGTTGTAGTCAAATATAAATCCTTAATAGGTCAAGGCCAAATTGAAAAGGCCTAAATTCACTTCACCCCATAATATGCCATCTGGTTTAGAAAAACAACAACATTGCTGTAATGTCTAAAAGCTTCATCATTGGAAAAATTATCACAAGAATTATGATAACATCAGAAGTTGAACAACAGTTCATATCATTGATCGTATTCACATCTAAATGCTGTTATGTGACAATGAATTGGCACAATATTCAGTTATAATTACTTGGCAATCATGAAGCCATCTCTGGAACAATGGAAACAATATTCCCATTGATGAAATCAGACACCAAAAAAAATGGGAAAAACTATTTAATAACAATTGACCATAGAATCAGAGGACAAATATACTAAATTGCTTTCATTTGCAGCAAGCCCTAGTTTCAGTTTTGACCAATAGCTCAGCATTGCAAACAAAATTCCTCCCCATTCTGACCACCTCATATTATATTTGCTGACATTACAAAATATTTGGAAGAAACCAAATTCCAACCATTAGTCATGGGAAAAGCATTTCAGTCACGCCCTAACCAACCACAACAATATCATCAAAGTAAATTCAGCATAATTCTCGAGCAATTAAAAAAACATAGAAAAACAAACATGGAAATTACCTTAGTGAACACTAATAATTGACATAATCCTCATAGGTAAATAGAACCCTTTCAGAAGAAAGAAGCAAGACAACATCGATGAGAAACATTTTTATCTGGGTGTGGACTTGTGTTGGTAGTTTGTATTCAACTTATAATCATGTCTATGAGAAAATAAAAAATCTTCAGTAGAATATGAAATCAACAAGAAGGAAAAAATTAAACCTAAATTTGAGATAAGAGAAGTGTATATTGATCCAATCTTTTGGTTTCTGAGGGAAAAAATGGAAAATATAAACAGAAAAAGAAATCTAAATCTTGAATTCATTGAGAGGAAAGTGAAGAAAAGAAATAAAGTGAAAAACAGAGGCAGAGAATGAGAGGAGAGTGGGGTGTACCTCAAGGCTGAACCTGGAGTTGGACTGAACCGGCAAATCTGGTGTAGAGTTCTAATCAGAGAAGATTGAGGGGTCGATTAAACATAAATGGAGAGAAAAAATAGGGCAAAGATAAACTGTCCATCTTTCGATTTCGTTTCTAACGCATTAATGTGCCTCGCCCCCTGATCTTTCTGATCGCAATCAGCCCATTCGAGATCCCCCGTTCTGACAAGTCCAGCGGTAGTCCTTTGTAGACAAAGGTTCTGAAACAGTTGAGGGGAGTGTAGGGTCTGGATTCGAACATATGGCTTGTGGAGGGATTGGAGAAGATAGAAGATAGGGTTAAGGTTTTGGAACCGACGACGAGAGTGGAGAAGACGAAGTAGACGACCGATGAAGATCGGTGAAGAGAATAGGAGAAGAGAGAGAGGGTGGCGAGGGAGGAGGTGGTGGCGACGGCAGTGGTGGTCACCTGTGGCGCCACTAGAGGCGAAGATGTAGGAGGTGGAAGAGAAAGAGTGAGAGAGAGTGAGAGGGAGTTTTAGGTTAGGGTTTAGACTAATATATATAAGGTTAGGGTGATTAGGTTTGGGTTTAAACTCTATATAAATATATATAATTGCACTTATTTAAAATGTGTGATTAAAAAAATATATCTTATATTAAGTGTAATTAAAAAAAAATTAATTTTTTTAATCACTTCTAATAAAAGTGAGATATTTTTAATTTTTCTTATGTGATCTTTAATCACATGTTAATTATAAGGTGTGATTAAATATATATATATATATATATATATCCTCTATCTGTCTCCCACTTATCTCTCTCTCACCACCCATCTCCTCTACCACTTTCACTACTACTGCAAACGCCATTTCACTACCACCACTACTAACACGGTCGCCACTTCACCACTACGACTACCATTACAATATTTTTCATTAAAATATTACCCCTACTTCTACCAAATAAAAATAATAATAATTTTTTTTTTCATTAAAAAAAATGAAACAAATAAATTTTCAAGCTTAGTAACCAAAATAAAATAATTTTTTTAAAAAAATTTATTTTTAACAAAAAATAAAGTTTTTTTTTGCGACGACAACCCTCTCTCTTTCTCTCTCTCTGTCACTCATCGCTCTTCTCTGTCTGTCTCTCTCTTTTTCTCTGTGTCTCTCGTCCATCTCTTTTCTCTCTATCTCTTTCATCTATCTTCTCTCTTTGTCTCTCTTCTCTCTCTTTTTTTTTATCTCTTACTCATCTCTTTCTGTCTCTCTCTCGTTTATCTCTTTTCGCTCTTCTTCTCTCTCTCTCTATATATAATATTATATCTTTTCACATATTTTTTCATCTTCCTCTCTCTCTTTTCTTTCTCTCTCTCACTCATCACTCTTCTCTCTCTGTCTGTCTATTTGTCTCTCTCTCTCTCTTCACACTCATCTATCTCTCGCTCACCACTCTGTCTCTGTCTCTGTCTCTCTCCTCTATCTGTCTCTCACTTATCTCTCTCTCTCACCACCTATCTCCTCTACCACCTTCACCACTACTGCAAAACGCCATTTCACTACCACCACTACTACCACCCCGGTCGCCACTTCACCTCTATGACTACCATTACTACTACCATCGCCACCACTCTACTACCACCACTACCATTATTGCCTTACTTACTACCATTACCTCTCCTTTCACCCCTTGCCACTCCATCTACTCTACCACTACCACAAATTTCACCACTAATTTCCTTCGCCATCACACCACTCCATCATCTCTTATCCACCACGTTCGCCACCTACTGCCCACTCCCTCTCCTTTACCACAAAAATATTACCTCTACTTTTACCAAATAAAAAATAATAATAAATTTTTTTCATTAAAATAAAAATAAAACAAATAAATTTTAAATCTTAATAACTAAAAGAAAATATTTTTTTTTAAAAAAAAATTCATTAACTACAAAAAAAAATTATTTTAACAAGAAATAATTTTTTTTGCCAACGGCAACCTTAAACAATAAAACATGATTTAAATCTTCTCTTCTCTTCTTCTTCTCTTTTTTTTTTCCCCTATGTTTCCCTCCCTTTTTTTTTCATTCCCCCCTTTTATTTCCATTCTCCGTTTTGTAAACACTCCCCCCAAACCAAAAATCCCTAATCTCTTACCCCTTCTCTCTCTCTCTCGATCAATCGATCGATCGAGCGGCGGCGCGGCAGACGACTGCCAGCAGCAAACAAGGCTGCTGTGTGAATGGAAAGGGCTCCGGAAGTGCAAGAGCAGCAGCAACAGCGTCGGAGGAGGAGGAGGAGGAGAGAAGGTGGTGATCGGGATGATATGCGGGAGTCTGGTGTACTACCACCGGCGCATATAAGAATTCAAGCAT